TAGCACCTGCACCGGACCTGGTTGATTTTTCAATTGTTGACATTTGACAGTATGTTGCTCTTAAATTTTTAATTTTATTTTTTACTTCATTAACTGTCACTTGTATGCCGATTGTATTCAATTCTGCACATATTTTTTGTAGTGATGTATCACGCATAGATTTATTTTTATACGATGGAATACTGGCATTCCATAGACATTCTTCTTCGTGATATAATTCTACAAACTTTAAATTAAGATCACCACTTAATTTTGGCATTTTGACGTATAAAAAAACCTACAGCAACAATACCGATTCACATTTAATAAACCACGTGGCGTAATAAAAAGCGTGAACACTGCGCTAGCCGATCATGTACTAGCTTTGCCGTCTACACGGAGATAGAACACTAAGATAGTAAATTCAGTGGTGGGAGGTGTGCTAGCTCAAAAAAAATAGAACGCAATCCTATTAAACTTGCCTGGCTTGACACGCTAGCTTATTAAAATATTCCCTAGCTTGCTAGCTTAAAAACAAAGCTAGTTCTGTTTACACAAAGCTATTATTACTAGCTTTCTAGCTTACTAGTATTACCTTGCTATGAAAAACTAGCCTCGTGTATTCCAGGCATTATGCTATACAAGCCATTAAGTCCTTTTGCACGCTTCAACCAAACGTCTCCATACATTCCGGTCTATTGCATCTTCCAATCGCTTTGTTTCGTCGGTATCTGAAATATCTTTCTTAACTCTATCTAACCACCGCTGTCAAAGTCTTCCCCTTGGTCACTTTTTTGTTGGGTTTCGGATTAGGACATTCTGTATGACACTTTCACCAGCACGCCAGACATGGCCAGCCCACTCTAATCGTTTCGCTTTTAAGAATAAACAGATATTTGGTTTGTTATATAACCTTCCTAGTTCATCGTTCTTTCGTCTCTCATATTCCCCAATTTGATTTCGCACAGGTTCGTAAATTTTCCATAAAACTTTTCTTTCGAAGGTAAGTAGCTTCTCTTCGTCCCCCTGTGTTGTGAACCATGTCTCGCATGCGTACATTACTATCGGTCTGAGGTAGGAGGTGTTATTTATACTTACACAAAAATTATAAGTGAGGTAGTTTGCAGATAGCATATTACTGGAAGTAATAATTATTAAGTACATTTTTTTTTCGATCGTTTGAAACATGTATATATAGTTATATGTATCTGTAGTTTTCAATTTTAAATTAAAAAAAATTGTCAAAATATGCAAAATAAGCATAAAAATTTTAAAATATGTACTCTCCTGCAAAATCTATCAAATATGCAAAAATATGCACATTCAAATTTTAGATCTAATATCATGGCACCGAGAAACGAATTTATTTCGCACTCTGCTATATTTAACAATAATTAAAAAAAGTATGCAAATGCTAAAAGTCCCTAAGCCTATTAATAATAAACCATACAATGTATAAAGTATAAATAATACACCAAATTCACAGTTATTGATATTTATATTTTTCCAGAAATGACGACGTTATCCCTTATCATAAGCACCATATAATCTTTAATTATGAAAATAGTTTTGATATTATAAATCGTGAAATTCGTTTTCAAATTGACGTAAATTGAAATTCACATAAAAATTATTTTGGACATCATTTAGGATGAACGTCCCCCCGTTCCGGTGAAAAAATATCTAAGGGGTACGCAAAAAAAAAAAAAATTGTAGAGGGGCAGCCCCCCCCCCCCTCCCCCCCCCCCCCCCACAATTCGAGCACTGTATATTTGTATTTTACTTAAAATAGTTATATAATTATAACGTTATCAAAACGCGTCAGCGCGCGCGTGCGGTTATCATTTATTACACGTAATCGCGTGGTGACCAATGAGTTAATTGACAAAGTTTTCCCGAATCAACTACAAAATTACAGAAATCGCTAGTGGCTTAGTGTATGGCTATATTGGCAGCCAAAAACTATGATGTAAATACAATCAATATCACCATTCTAAACGAAATTCCAGGCGACATGACAACGTACCAGTTCACTTATACTGTAATGAATTAAAAAGAAGTTGTCAAATATCCAACTGAATTTTGAAATTCACTTGATTTGCCAAGCATGCCACCACGCGTTCTAACATTGAAATTTGGTGTGCCTATCTTTCTTCTATGAAATATCAATCCACCATGATTGCAACGGTACCAGACTTTCGGTGAAAAAGTTGATGAACAACATTAACGGAGCTACAATTTTAAATGGAAAGTTTAAAGGCGATGACCATCAACAAAGCACAAGGACAATCGCTATAAGTGTGCGGACTGAATTTGGAAAATCCATGCTTCTCACATGGACAGCTGTATGTGGCATGCTTACGCGTCAGAAAATTACTGTGGCCAGTGGCGTAGGAAGACTCGCTAGTGCCACTGGAAAACAGAAAACGACTGTTAACCGATTAAAAATATGATATGATATTTTTTTTAACCTTTAATTTTATTAATTTTTTTTTAAAACACAATTTATATTTGTAAGTTATTATTACAGTGTAAATTTAAAATTTTGAATATTTGCTATTCTCTCTTTAAAACTTCCTGTTCGAGTTCATCGATAATTTATTTATATGCAATTTCCTATTTGAACTCCCTTGTGTTATTTTCATAATTTTATCATTAAATTCATACGTATTATATAAAATTAAACAAAATCTACATATTTCAAAAAATACAATGGAATGTTTCGTTTTGAAGGTAGAATAAAAACACGATTTTTGTACAATTTGCGCCCCTGTTTTAGACACAATTTGTCAAACCCTAACTACAACACTGACTGTGGTATACTTAAATTGATAGTATGATATAATTTTACTTTCTGTAAATAATAAAAATATGTTAAATCTATTAAATATTTAATCAAATATAATTATTAATTATTAGAAACATATTTTTGCATATTAAATAGTAAAATAAAATTTAATTATTTAAAATAGACACAGAAAGTCTGAAATCGATTTTTAAAACAGAGTTGTTACTCATCACGCACATGTTTATTACTTTTTCTTTACCAATCGTGCATTACTAGTATCATATTTTGTTATTACCTAGACAACTTCCTCCCTTAGTAACCAAATGAAATATAAATAACATACCTGATTTTTACAAGAAATCAGTTTTAAATTAAAATTTATATTATTTTAACATTTTTGTTGTTTTTCTACTAAAGTATTAAATTTTATTTTTTTATCGAAAAAACAAGTATGGACGGATTACCTTTTATACCAGGATTTCGGTTCGATGACATAACAGTAAGCTCATACAAATTTTCGTGTTAAGTATATTATAAGCAGGGTTCGGAAGTTGTGGCACTAAAAATATTACTTTTTAGCTCTTAAATATGCACTTAAAAACTCTAACATATGCGCTATAAATAGCACGAAAAATCAAAAAAATATGCATTTAACTTGAAAAAAATTTAATTTTACAAATTGTTAGGCTCATTAGACACAGT